AACGTTGGATAGCCCCTGTTTCCATGGTGGGAGCTTCAACCAAGAATATGCCAGACTAGTTCCCAAAAAAGTGTTGCTTGAAGGACAAGAATGGTTTGCCTAATTGAAGAAAGCCTACCTGCCCCCTATATCATGTGTTCACCATAGCATACACTCATAATTCATTTTATAGGACCCCAACTCAAAGATTATCATCCTTATCCACATCATGCTACGAGTTATCCCTTTCTTTTAGAGCCCCTTATTTTGTGCAATATCGTGCTCTTCTCCCATTGCCTTTTCTTTACCTTCTGTTTTTGCCGCTACTCTCTGTTGGACAATTGTTAGCATGTCTAACAGGCTGGGATTCCTAATGCATCGGAAACAACAAACGATGACTTGCTTGAAAGTCGAACAGATTTCCCATGTTGATGCGCACCCTTCTCTATATGACTCACTCTATTTACTAGGCTCACTAATCTTGCAACTAGTTCATGTAACGTAGTAGCCTCTAGTCTTATAGTTGGGGAGGGGCTGGTTCTGAAGTCGGATAGCCCTTGCCTTCATTTATGACTAGCATTCTCATACTTAATAGTTCTGTCTTTCGAAAGTATCCTATTCGACGGCCTTCACTTCTGGCAACATTGATCAAAGGCCTGTTCTTTACTTCAATACACCATAAACGTTATTTTATAGGCCTCTTCTCTTCTTATAAGCTCTGTATGTCTTGGTGTGTTAGGGAGTGGAGAAAAGTCGCTTGGTTCGAGTGTAACGGCTTTTGTGCTTGTAGCTTAGTTCGGGTATGTCTTTAATGCTTGATTAAATCCTCAATAGCCTTCGGCCTTTGACTTCATCAATGTTGTCGTCTATCTTCTAGTGAGGTGCCCGATCGGAACATGCAAGAGGCTTTTTTTTAGCTAGCCAGTGTCCCTTATATTTATATATATAGTAGTTTTCTCATTTCCTTTTTTTGAGCGATATTACATTTTTCAGAGGTGGCATATCTTTCAGCTAGTGCATCCGCCTGGCCTAGCTATCCTTTTGTAAGTCAATTGTAGCTCTCGTAGCCTTCCTTTATGACTTGAGCAACTCTAAGCCCTATCTCTGACCACAATAGGTGTAGCCACCCCCTTCTCCGCTATATTCAATGTTGCCGCAACAATATAGAATTGGATGCACTTAAGTGCTAGGTTTTGGTTCTGTTTTCCTCTCCCCTCAAACTCAAAGTGAAGCGATGGCAAAGCCAACCCCGTCCTACCACTCTTTTTTAAGTAGTAAAGGTGCCTCGCTTAGTCTAAGATGTTTTCCTATATTTATATATATATCTGTCTCCTCTCTATATGTATGTGCTTTAGTCTTTCTTACGTAATTGAGTATAGAAAGAGGAATAGAGAGATAAGCCTTGAGTGTTCAGACCAATTATGATCGATTTGCTAAACCACAAGAGCAAGGAAGCTGGGAGAGGGAATTCTATTTTGAATCGCTATCAATTCCTTTCTATTTTAATTTGTCTTTGCTTATTATAACCCTAGAAAGAGGATCTACATCCCACATCCAAAGAGTAGAAATCTCATTGGTTTTAGAACTCCTCCGCTCCTCGCTAACAACCCTATTCGCTTAGCTTTTTGTCTCAAGTATTCCCACAAGAGCTCCTAAAACAACAGTGGATATATCATCGGTTCTTATTATCGATTGTCGTTGCAAAGCTTCCTACTACTAGGATAGAGATTCTAACAACAAACTAAATAGGTTAGTAGGATAGGAATCCGCTTTGAAGGCTGTATATCACAAGAGGCCGAGCCACTCTTTGTTAAATTCCTTAGCTCTTCGCTGCACTCCACTTTATGAACAATCCTTGGGGAAGCCCTTTCAGTGAGGTAAGGAAGAAGAAGGGAAAACTATTCTCCTCCAATTGCATTGATTAGTTGGATGAGAATGATATAAGCAAGGAAGCCGTAGAAGATTCCTCCATATTCGACTTGTGATGCCCGGGGGAGGAGGTGGAAGACGGACCCTCTGGAGACGAATTCTAGACAACTAGCATCTGACCAATCCTACCTTTTAAGTGGCAAAGCTTTCCCAATATTCTCTTAAAGACCGTAAAGAGAGGAAGGTCTTTCAGTTGAACCCCCACAAGAGATATGAGAGTCACTTTTCTCAACAACTTCCATTGATTGATCACCAACAACCATCTCTTGCATAAGCACTTGAACCAAATCAGCCCTATTATCAACCTTGAGACTCTCACTTCTAGTCGCAACAGCCTTGTTTTTTCCTTTCTTTTCCACTCTAATCCATTCCCCATCAAAATTTTGCCTAGTATCCTACTCTTTTACCAGAAATCAATGTTGAAATTTCCTTTATTATAAACTATAAATCAAACAAGAGGAGGTTTCCTAATGGTATGAAACTAGATATTCAAAAGAGGAAGAGTAAAGCTCTGGTCTTTCTCCTTCTCCCTTTGTGTTATGCCCAAGTCCTCATTTTGTGCCTTCATATCCACTCGTTAGGGAATGAATGAATAGAAGGTTTGTCTGTTGGGCCTATCGCCCTCTATTTGAGTTGTATATCCATTTCTAGTCAAAAGGCATCCATCTAACACCACTAGATCTAATTGTTTTACTTCTCCCTCTACCACTGGCGTTGCCTCGAAGGGTAAGCTATTCATCTCCTCTAACACTTGTGGAAGCATATCACCTCTAATTAGGAGCAACTACTGGATCTGGGAGAGTTCTTCTGCCTTAAAGCCAGTGGAAGTGAAGGTTCAAAGCAATAAGTTAAGCCTTCTAACTCTGCATCTCCATATCTATACCATTTCTCCATTTGCTGGCTAGTTTCTAACAGATTCCTTGGAGGTGGAACTAGAACCATTTAATCCATTTTTCGACCATCAAGAGCTATGACCATGAGAGGGCAGTACACAGACACGTACGAACCGGGTGGGGAACAGAAAAAAAGAAACCTAGCCAAAAGGCTAATCAACTATGTAAAGGCTAGTGGTATGGTTAGCAGGTGGGAAGGTCTCCAGGGTCTCCTGTCAAACTGGTATTCTACTCCTTACTATCTCACTACCTAGCTATTCTTATAAGTGCTTAACCCCTACACACAAAATCATCAATTTAGCTATCAATATGCTATATCCAAAGATGAAGCGCCCACTTGATAACTTGAGGGGCAAAGACGACTAACTTTCTCTATTTGCCACGGTTAGCTCAAACCCCACAGGGAAGCAAGTTTTCGTACGAAGAAGAAGAAGAAGTTGTGGCAAGCCCATAGTACTACAAGGAAAAGAAATGCATCTTTTTTTTCTAAACGCCCTGGAACAAAACTTATTGAATCATGAAGGCGATTGTCCTATATATAGGTCAATTCATAAAGAAAAGGAAAGGGAGATGCAATCCTTACTATACAAGAGTGGAATGTAGAACCTCAATGTAATGGTTGGGGCTCTAACCTCTTCAATATTCATCCATTCCATCGAGCCTAACCATGAAAGATTTTATAAAAGACATGGTTTTTAGCTCATAAAGCGTTGTTCTTACTCCCTATTTGAGGGGTACTTGGATAGAATCCAATATGAATATAACCACTTTATTGCGCTCTGGAACGAAATAATAATATATAGAGTGATATGTAGATAGAGTTCTAGGCTTTTAGCCAAAAAAAGGGAAGCTTCACTCCACCCTCCTTTACGTAGTGAGCGGAGCAGGGATATTACATATTTCTAGGAAAGAAAATTTATTGGCTTGAAAGAGATATGATCATGACTGATTGTAAAAAATCCTCAGCTCGGCTTGGCTCGGCTTAGTCTAAAAAATGTGTTTTCTAAGCTTTTAGGAGCCAAATTCCAATTTAGTGATCAACAATTGCTCACTTCAGGAGAGAATGGGTGTTCATACAATAGTAGCTAACTGAAAGAAGCAGAAGCAAACTTGCCTGAGGGATGTAGCTAACTGATAGGACCCACCCCCACTACAAAATAGAGATTCTTGTTTGCATAAATCTTTCCCAAAATGAAAATTTTGAGGTTGGATCGAGATTGACTTCTAACTATATGCTTTAGGATTGGATCGATCGATCAGTACGTCTAACGAGGAAGGCCTGTAACAAGGCGTTTTCATACAGGATAGTAGAATACTAAGAAATGTTGCTCCAATTTCTTTTATTTTAGCTCCCCTTCTCATAGGTGATGGCAGTAAGCTGAAGTGTGAAAGGTAAATAGTGCACCTGAGAAATCAATAAGATAAGCAGTGATCCAAGAAGAAGGGCATCCCCCGAAGCGAAGAAAAGTCTTAGATCACTCTATTGCAGAAGGTAAGTCAAATCAATGTGAAAGAAAAGGTGGGAAAGCTAAGGTGGGGAAGCAACTATCCAGGTTGGTACAGTTGAAGTTGGTTCCGTAGATGTAGATCGGTTCAACAAAGTAATCTCATAAGGAAGCGAAGGTAGCATCGCTTAAAATATCGATAGTAGCTCACCCTCCGAGCTGAAGAGCCTCTCATCATATTGCAACACGGACATTGGGCATATTAGTTGGTCTATTCCATCTTAACATCCACCCGCCCCAAACATCTATACAAAGGATTGCATATGGGCAATATTGAAATCATCCTTTCCAGTAGTATTGTTGTTGTTTTTTTGGCAACTTTTGTTGTTGCCGGAACTATGTGGTATAGTTCAGCAACTACCCTAATTGAGTTATTTGGGCCTACTTGTTATCAATGGGATCAGGGGTACTTCCAGCAAGAGATATATTGAAGAGTTAGTGCTGGCCTAGCTGAAAATTAATGTTTATCAGAAGCTTAGTCTAAAATTCCTAAAAAATTAGCCTTTTATGATTACATCAACAATAATCAAGCAAAAAGGGGATTATTCACGGTAGGCTCAATGGATAATAGAGATGGAATAGTGGCTGGATGGTTGGGACACCCTATTTTTAGAGATAAAGAAGGTCGTGAAGTTTTTGTACACCGTATGCCTACTTTGTTTTGAAACATTCTTGGTTGTTTTAATAGACGGCGATGGAATTGTTAGAGCCAATGTTCCTTTTAGAATGGCAAAATAGAAGTATAGTGTCAAACAAGTATGTAACTGTTGAGTTCTATGGTGGCAAACTCAATGGTGTCAGTTATAGTGATCCTACTACTGTGAAAAAATATGCTAGACGTGCTCAATTGGGTGAAATTTTTGAATTAGATCGTGCTACTTTGAAATTCGATGGTGTTTTTCGTAGCAGTACAAGGGGTTGGTTTACTTCTGGATATGCTTCATTTGCTTTGCTCTTCTTCTTCGGACATATTTGGCATGGTGCTAGAACCTTGTTCAGAGATGTTTTTGCTGGTATTGACCCAGATTTGGATGCTCAAGTAGAATTCGGAGCATTCCAAAAACTTGGAGATCCAACTACAAGAAGACAAGTAGTTTGATACAACATTGCTTTGGTATCTTTTGACTATATTTTCTTTTGTTGATTTGAATCGGATACCAGAGAAATCTTAATTTGAATCACTGAATTTTTAAATCTTGCTTTTTCTTTAGTCGGGAGATGATCCCCCCAATAAAGAAAAAAAAAACAAACAAATATGGAAGCTATAATTGTAAACCATGATCGAATCTATGAAAGTATTGGCTTATACATTCCTTTTAGTCTCGACTCTAGGGATAATTTTTTTCGCTATCCTTTTTCGCAAACTACCTAAAGTTCCAACTAAAAAGATGAAATGATTATTCATTGTCTCAGTTGAAGTAATGAGCCTCCCAATATTGGGAGGTTGATTACTTCAACTAGTCCCCATGTTCCTTGAACGAATCTCTTAGTTGTTGAGAAGGTTGCCTAAAAGTGGTATATAAGGCGTACCTAGAAAAACTTACAAGTAAACCAGATATAAAGATGGTGATTAAAGTTGTTATTTCCATTATTATATAATTTCAAGACTACAATGGATCTATGATAATATTGTTTATTTATAGCAGAATGATGTACAAAGTCAACATATCTCAATGAATAGAATAGGATTTATGGCTACACAAACTGTTGAGCACGCTTCTAGGTGTGGTCTAAGATAAACAACTGTAGGGAGTTTATTGAAACCATTGAATTCAAAATATGGTAAAGTAGCTCTTGGATGGGGAACAACACCTTTGATGGGTGTCGCAATGGTTTTATTTGCGATATTTCTATCTATTATTTTGGAGATTTATAATTCTTCCGTCTTATTGGATGGAATTTCAATGCAATAAATAGTGGATTGATAAGAACCACAAAATTCTAGCCTTTCTTTTCAATACAAAATGAATCATTTAGAGCTAGGATTTCTATCCCATTCTATTTTGGTAGTTCGACAGTGGAATTTCTTTGTTTCTGTATTTCCAGAATATGAGTGTGTAACTTGTTATAATTGATCCTATTGATAGTACAAAGAATGGATCTGTCATCTTGATAGAGATAATTCTACTTCGTCAGATATTTATTCTAGTATCTAGAACACGAAATATATCAAATAGATTAAGAAATATTTGACCTATGATTCATACTTAATATTCAGACTTCAGGGTCAGATTCCAAAAAACTTTAGAAATTATAAATTGAAAGATTGTTGTTCTTTCAAATTCCTCTTTATGCTTAGTTTGACCAAAATTAATCATTATCTCTATTCATGGAATAAGTGATTATCCAATGGTTCTTACTCTAGGAATCCTTGGACTTATTTTATTGAATCATCATGGTTCTAGTATGAATCTGAGGTTTTAATCGATTCATAGGGGGTCTTAACAAGAGAATTCCTAGCAATAATAAAGAAAATAAATAATAAAAACCACATTACACACAAAAACAAATCAAAGAAGAAATAGGGAAAGAGAGGATTCAAGAGGCCCGTAAGGATCAAGATAAAGACAATTGAGCCAATATCACTATTTTGATACCGCTACTACCACTATAGTCGTTGCCCCTTCACGGGATGGGAGGTGACCTTTGCTACACTTGTCATTGGGAAGCTCTAGGCAGGTATTAGCTTGTTCTATTCTGATGTCATTTTTTTTCTACGATATGTCGCGATCATAGAAAATCAAAAAATCTCTAAAATATAAAATAATAGAAAACCAACAAGGAAGAAAAACAAGTGGCATATTCAGAACAGACAACTGATAGCTAGCAGTTCTTGTCTTGCAGCACTTCTTTAGCAACTAGACATATGTGACCTTCTCTTCTGAGTGCATTAGTTCTGATAAGCAAGGTTAGCAAAGGCAACTTTTGGTTGGGGTATGAACTCGTAGCTGATGTTGGTTTTCTAAATCTACCTCTTCCGTCGCTTATTAAGTAGGGCTTTCTTTAGTCTTCTGCTTTACTTGACTAAATTTCACTTACACCTTGTCTGTTAGACTTTGGAAAAAATCATTAATGTTCCTAAGCTTATGAATGTGCAGTTGGTTCTTCAGAAATATTATGACGTTTGCCATTATGATCATAGTGTAGGAGATTTTTATCCCACTTTGTGAAAGAATCGATAGCTAATAAGATGTATTCATGTCCAATTGGTTGCCTTTGGGTTAACCTTCCTATAATATCTCGGCAATATACCACAAAGGGCCATGGTGTGGTTTGGTTATGAAGCTTTGTCGGCAATGCGTAGATCAAATTTGCATGCACTTGGCACTTGTGGCATCTCTGAAGAAAATGGATGCAATCCCTTTCCATTGTACAAGAGTAATATCCTAGGTGAAGTCTTTTTTTTTGGAAAGCCTGTGCCCATTCATGTGTCGACTGTAGACTCCTTCATGCACCTAGATTATCATCTCTTTGGCCTCCCTTTCATCTAGACATTTCAACAGAATGTTGTTGAAAAACCTTATTATACAACCTATCCCCACGGATTACGGACTACATGGCTAGTCTCTAAATGGTCTACCGATTTCTTAGTCTAGCGTTGGGAGTGGTTGCTCTCGTACCTATGGTTACAGACAACAGCGACAGATTCAAGCGCATGAGTTCAGAGAGATCAGTTGAACGCCTATAGAATAAGAAAGTAGATCATGATCTAAATATGAAGGAAGTCGATTCTAGGGACAACTACTACTACATACACAAGAAATGGTCTTGTGGACTTACAAAACGGATTGAGAACTTGCTAATACACGCTAAGCCTCCTCACCCCATTGAGGATTACGGTAATCATGGTGTCGCCCAGTGGCGATAGGGAGGACCAATGCGTGGTCTATGTGCCTAAAGATTGAAGAAAGGGTTAAGAGCCTCCAACACCTATAAATAGAAGTTTTTTTTAGTCTCTATTTGGCAAAGGAATATGGGGCCGAACTTACAAGTCGGCAAGAAAGAATTTGAGAAATGAGTAGGAACTTGAATTTCCTTATCGATGAGAGATGAAACCACATCAATGTGCGATCATCACTTTACGAGTTTCTACTTTCTCTTCTTTTTTCTTTAAGGACTCTCTTAAGGCTTTGAACGCTACTTTCTTTATCCTCATTAGGATAGTACTTCCTTTAATAAGTGTAGAAAGTATGCTCTCTTTTCCTCCTTAGTAGCTAACTGAGAGTCCATCTTGCTCCTGTATTTTCCTCTTGTTTCATCTACTAGTCCTACTTCTCTCTCTGTTGAGTATCTTTGAAATGTTGCTACCTTAATCTTCCTTCTCCATGCTAACACCCCTAGTATAAGTTCTAGGAAAAGAGAGTCCATCTATACCCTGATCCCTTCTCTAAGATGGGGAAGCTTCCTAGAGAGTGAAGCCTTTGCCCCCAGCTAGATATAGTACTATCCTCTTTCATCTGATTTTCCTCTTTATGTTAAGAGAATCCTCCTACTAGTATGTTTATATCAATCTTAAATGCCTTATAATGAGTTATATCTTCCAGGTCTTGTTTTGTCTTAATAGAATCCCTATGAGTGAGTCATCCTTTCTTCTAATGCTTCCGAGTGGTTAGTCCTTATTCTATCTCTTTTAGTGGTATAACGNCGGGTCTTGTTTTGTCTTAATAGAATCCCTATGAGTGAGTCATCCTTTCTTCTAATGCTTCCGAGTGGTTAGTCCTTACTCTATCTCTTTTAGTGGTATAAGGAGGAGTTTGATTCATAGAGCTGGATGTAGCTACTTTAGGTTTCTATCAAGCTAGGCCAGCTAAGAATGTCTTTGATGGTAGCTTTCTTCTTACTGGTAGTTTTAGATCAAGATAGAACATATAATAAGAAAGAAGATCTAGCAATCTGGTAGTTCCTGTAAGCCAAGCAGCTATTGAAGAGCTTAGGAGAGAGATCAAAGAGTAGTCCTCTTGTCACATCCTTAACAAGGGATTCCTTCCTCTCTATACCCACCCTGATCTATGCTCATCCATTTTTTCCTTCTTCCTTGGAGCTAAAGCTCTTATTCCCTTAAGTAGTCTAAAGGTGCTAGGTACGGTCTTCAAGTGCCTCTTATAACCCAGACGCTTCTCCTAGTGATTTTAATATCATTATCTCGTCCTATAGCTCTTATTAGACTCTAAGATCTCAATGTTATTTGAGGAGAATCAATTTGCTCCTATAGGTTTATATCCCTCTAGAATGCCTTATAAGCCCTTCTATTTATCCCTATCTTGCTGGTAGCTCTCTTTTTTCCTAGTAGCTTTACTTCATTCTTGCACTGTTAGTTTAGTAATGCCTAAGAGCTTCTTCCTTAAGGGGCCCATCTAGAAGATAATGTATTCTATCTGGTATCTAACCCGACAAGCTGCTATTGATAAAGAATAAATATCTTTATTAATATAAGGCTACAAGACAGAGACTTCCTCCTCTGGCCTTTTTCTCCAAGTTACAAGTAGCGAGGAGGTTAATGTGACACTCATTAACTTCCTTCCTATTTTGGTAGTGTAATAAGGCTTCTGAGGTTCTTGTATGCTATGTACTGAGTTGAATCATTTTTATCCCTACTACGCCTAAGAAGGAAGTTAGTTGTTTGCCCTATGGACGGTCATAACTAATGAGCTAAAGGAAGAGTGCAGAAGCCTAATTCCTTAACCTAACTGTTAGCTCTTGAAGGTTGGCAGTTGTTCTGGCCCCACATTCTGGCCTTTATTAAGTACTGAGCTAAGAACCGAACTCTCAAATATGAGCTATCTTTTTTGTAGTTCCTCTCTAAGTAGCTATTAATACTCAATCTAGCTGCTAACCCGATGAGCAGAAGAAAGAATAAAAATATCTCCTTTTGTTAGTAAGTAGCTTCATTTCTTTTATGTATTGGTAGTTTGATAAGAGTAGTTCAAGCAGTCTGCTAGGAACTAAATTTTTCCTTTCTTTACCTATGTGTGCATCTCTTAAGGCTTTCAAATAGCCTTTCTATAGTTTCATGAGTTTCCCTCTTGTGGTTTTCTCTTTGCTCTTACTAGTAGTTTCTATTTCTAGAAGAGAAAGAAGGATGAAACATACTAGATTCTATTGAGCTATCTGGTTGTTCTACTAAAGCAAGCTGGCTGTTAGTGAATAACTGAGGATAGATGGAGGCATTTGGGTAAGTATGTGGCTTCCTTGAGTGAGTCCTTTCTCTTTCTATCTCCTTGGATGGCAGACCTTAGTTAGTAGAGTATGTATAGTAGTTAGCCCTTTTCCTTTTAGATGGATCCTTCGTGTGGTAAGTAAAGGTAATAGGTAGGTATTATGAGTCTTAGAGACCTGCCTTCTATCTTCTTATTTCGATTGATTTAGAGCTAGGAAGCCAAGCCCTAAGCAAGGTTTTCATTCCTAGGTTTCGATAAGGCCGCTATTCCTGATTTTAGGAAGGAATAGAGTAAGGCCTTTGCCTTTCTAACTCTTGATCTTCAAAAAGAATATATTTTCCTGCTTCCACTCTGATCGCTAAAGCGGTTATAACATGTACTTCTTGAGAGATTGGATTGCCTGAAACAAGGTTATTGAGCTATATTCGCTTAGCTCAATAAGATTTTTATAAACCTAAGTCCATCTTGAACAACAAAAATATGGAAACAGGTAGAGAGATTGATAATAAGATAGATGAAAGTTAGGAAATAAAAAACTAAGAGCTCCAAGAGGCAACACATATCTCGTTGAATTTGTTGAA